AGTTTCTAAGCATCTTCCGATCAAACAGTACAATGGTGCCACCTGTAACATTTACAAAAATTACCAAGATTGGGAACATAGCAGTTTCAGTATCTAGATATCTCATGTCAAAGTCATTTTGTGTGTGCAAAATTCATCAAAACTAGAAGGGAAACATGCTTCTCTGTTATCATTGATAGAACTACAACTATAGGAATTATTAATTTATGATACTGATTATTACCTATCTATGCCTAACCTCATATGCAAATCCTTTGTACTTGCAAATGTATTTCATCTCATCATATATACTTAAATGGTGTATTAATTCATCAAAACTCACGAGGAGAGCATTTCTCTTGTAAGGAAACTAAAACATAAATATTCTGTAGACGTACTTTTCAAGAGAATATGGAAAAGTTACTGCTACCAAAGTTGCATTTTCATCATGAGTAAACAATATAAGGAAAAGTTTGCTGAAATCAGAAGAGGATGAATTAAGTATGGGGAGGGACAATAGTTATACGACACAACATAATCACCTCACTATATACTGTAACAGATACTTACTTTTGGGCAAGTTCACTGGCTTGACGTGGATGGTGAAATACTTGTGATTGTAAAGTATTGCATGAATTTCATTTGGGCGGAGCCATCTTGATTTGGCTTCTTCCATAATAGTCGGAACATCCAAATCTGTGCATGAAACAAGAACCCACAACAAGAAAAATAAGCAAGGGAACTTACATCCTGGTAGTAACATGTGAAATTAAGGAATCTGATCAAGAATTGACTGTCATAATCAGAACTGCCTTATGAACCAACAGACGCACATAGTTACTAAAAGAATTGAACAAAGGGAAACAAAGTCTGATCCAACCATCTGAACGTTATGAACTGGATATCTAATCTTTGTCATTTTATCTATTCTTGTCTTTTCCTAGTTCCCAATGAACTGTAAATCTTGCGTATATAAAACTATCACAACTTTGCAAATTGCAAATGTAAAATCTAGTGTGACATGGTTCTTGGGCATTTCTACGCTGGCGACTTCGGCACTAACCATCTTGAGCTTTCATTGTAAAAGTTCATCCAGCAACTTGATTGCTCCCAAACATAATTTACGAAGTACAAACCATAAAGATAAAGCCTTTCTATAGCTTTTGTTTCATTGATCCCCCACAATAAAAACGAGAAAGAAGGCTCTCTTTTTTTCCGACACTTCCTATGCATCTCTCTCTCTCTCTCTCTCTCTCTCTCTCACACACACAATTAGCACATAAAAATACCATCTTTATAGCTTTTATTCGTGCAAAATTCGCTTCTGGATTCACTAGATAACACTTTCTGTGTGGAATTCCAAGCTCCAAGCTCTTGCTTTCGCAGAACATGTAAATTACTTTCGAAAAGCGATAATCCAATGAAAAATTCACTTTCTTCAATAACCAAAACCAATCACTTTCCAGTATACACCAAATTACACACACACATACAAACAGAGCAAAATTACAAGTTTTTGACTTAGATCATAAATAAAAAACAGCACAGTCCGTACCTTGCATTGTATGGAATCCATGAATCTCTGAGCCCACGAGCTGATTCTCCATCATCAATAAACCCTCCAAGTAATCCCAAAATTTCCCTCACTCAAAACCTTAAACCCATCAAAACCTAAAACCCAATACAAAAAATTAATCAATAATTTCACAAAATTAACAGAAAACGATCAAAAGCAAAACAAGATCAACCCAAAATTACCCAATTAAAATCCAAGTGAAAGGAAAATGCAGCGAGCTTCCAGCACTGAGCCTCTCTCTCTATGATTGTCAGTTTTTCCGTAAGAAATGAAAAGGCAGCAAATGAAAGAGGCTGACTAATAAACAATTTCTAAAAGGTAGGGACTTAAAGACTTTTGGGCTAATTCGACCAAAAAAAAAAGAAAAAAAAGGACTTTTTGGGCTAAAAATAAATAAATAAAAATTAAAAATGGTAAAGACATACATAATTGTGCAAGACAGGTCAAGTGAGCTGCTGTTCAATTCAATGTCGGATAACGATTCTGCGGAGGCGGACATTGGCCGTTCGATGTTGCTACGCCAGTGTTAGAAGACACTCGTTATTTCCACGCGTGGGCTGCTGGTTGGTGAAGACCTTTTCCTTTTTCTTTTTCTCCTTTTTTGCACTTCTCTCTATTGTTAGCGATACGCGTTTGAACAATGTCATAACTCATGAATTAAGTCGCTCATGCGCAAGTTTCTGACCGTCGATATACGTGGAGTTTGCAATTTTTGCTTTAACAAACGATATAATCTAACGAAAATACGATGAGTTTAGCCATACAATGAGTTAGTAATAATGTTATTCAAATTTTCTTTTAACAAGAATTGAACTTAAAACATCTTACTTAAAAGTGAAAAAGAGTAAAAATAGACTGTAGTACTAATTATTATGTAGAGTTTGTATATTAACACTTGGTATTTGGTTTCAATAGTGTTTTTGTCCAATGAGTATTTACCACGTGTTAAAAGAATGCAGTAACAGTCTCATGAACAACGAACTTTTAATGAAACGACGACATGAGAGAATCTCTTTGCATGTTGAGTTTTGCATATCAACGGCTCAAAAAACATCACGCGCGGGATCAACGCTGGACTTTTTTCTTTATATAGATGCAATCTAATTCAGCGATTTTGCTGCCGGATTGCACCGTCCAGGAAGTTATGCTAAATTTCGAATGGTGCCGTTGTGCGGTACATTTGACTGAATCCCGTCTCCCAATTTAGAAATTCGAGTGATGTAATTTTCGTCGTCCCCACTCTCCTATCGACGTTGCAGTATCTGCATGGTTTGGTACCAGGCAGCTGAAGCCCTCGTGAGTCGTGCAGTCGTGGTCAAATGTATGTCACAATTCAAAATAGTAGCACACACTGTAAGCTAGTTATTTTCATTCTATTTATCGTTGACACGCGTACTAGACTCATTAAATTTCCGTTAGTGCTAGAACTTTCAGAGTCTTGAAAATATTTTACTCACCATCCTTTGGCCGTAAAACAAGTTTTTCATTTAATCCATGAACTATACAAATTTTAAAATTTAAATTAATCTAATAAAGGTGGTGAGAAACATGCACTCTACTTTGAGAATAATGGCTGCAAATCAAGAGAGCTTATTGGACCAACATGATCTTCTTCGGATTCTTTTGTGATGATCTCGAAAATCCATAAATTGTATCTGCTTATTGTACATTATGCGGTCAGTTTTCGTCAAGTACTGTTTGTGTTCAATTTTAAATAATAAAATTTAAAATAATTTCTAACTACATAATATACGATGAACAGACACAATTCACAGATCTTCAAAATCTTTACAAAGAGAATTCGGATTCCAACTAATAGAATCGTTTTTCCTGGTCGGTAAAACAAAATAATTAAAAAATAATCCAACTCTTATAGTGATTAGATGTAGTTAGTGGCTGTCGTTTTCTTTATGTATTTTCAAAACACCCATATAAGATGGAATCATTTGACATGTAAGGACAAATACAAACCACTGGCATCATAAAACACTAGCCTTCATGCACGCTCTCATACACGTGCATAAAGTATTTTTTGAATCACGACATGTTAAGCGTGATTTACACGTTTTAAATATATTTATATGCATAAATTGATAAAAAAAAAAGTTAAATATTTGAAGTAAATGAATAATTTTAGATAATGCTAGAAGAAACCCCTCACAAACTAATAAAATCAGCTGAATTCACATACTAAAATCAGTTTCTATATAATTTACATTAAGAATAGAGAAAATAATATTTAATAAACAATTGATTGAATCACATTATTGCTAGCCCATTGTAAGGCTAAGTTCACCCCTCCCATTTTAGTGTAGATAATATTGTTTGTTAAAAAAACAATAATTTGACAATTAATTTAATCACATTATTATCTGTATACGAAATACCTTTTTTATAAAGAAAATAATATTTAGTAAACAACCGATTGAATCATATTATTACCGGCGCTATGCGCATCTTAAGATGTTTTGAATACATTATTCATCATTTTCCTTAATTTTTTTTATTATATTTTTCTTTCCTCATCACGTGGACACCACTTTCACTTACCCTTTTAATTTGTTTATTCTTTTTTCTCTTCTCACTTACATTTATATTATATTTTCCAAATTACCCCTGCATGATTTGGTATATCATATCGCGCTGTTTTTGAATTTTTTTGGTTAACGGGTAATTTCATCCTAATCTTTTGTTAACCGCGTGACCCCAAAAACTTTGTCAGCATGCGTGACCCCAGATTGGGGCTCTCCCTTTCTATTATAATATATATATATATATATATATATATATATATATATATATATATATATATTAAGACTTTCGATTCCATACAATGGACCTATCAAATCACTCGCAAAAATCCTATTAATTAATATTAAGAGTGATCACCAAAATATTCTCAGTGTTTATCTTCACTACAAAAAAACTTGCTAAATACGACGCTAAAAACTCGTCGTGTTAAGTCATGAAAGCGTCGTTTATGCGTTTTAACGACGCTCATGCGACACTTGTGATTGCGTCGCAACAAACCCATGTCGCAAAAGTTTTCACAACTTATTGCGCACATTTCAAGCGTCGCGAAGTTCTTTTACGACAGCTTTGCGACACAATAGTTAGCGTCGCAATGGCTTTGATGGTGGAATTAAACAAAATATTTGGGACATGTTTGACACGTCGTAAATGCTTTTATCCCTACAATTTTTTTGTTATAAATACAAAATGGTTGGAAATGATATTTGTTCAATGAAAGATTAGTTTGCAATTTATAATCTTATTCACAATCATCCCAAGTTCAAAAGTAAAATAATATATGAATCAAAAGAACTATGCTTTTAGAATTCCTAATAACATAGAAAGTACACCATCCGCATATCCCAATACATATAATCCTACTAGAGTCAAATATAAATAATCTCGTCTCAAAAGTTATGAACATAATTTTTTTTTTTCAAATATGCTCCAACATATTCAAGAGTTTAATTATGATCAAGACTCTTCATCACAATCTCCATGCAAACCTGAAAAATAAGAATTACACAGCCATCAATAACATGTGTCAATTAAAAGTTTAATCTTTAGTATAATGTTTTCTTTACAAACCTTTTATGAAGCAATTGTTTCTATGGTTCTGGGTCTAACTGAGGTTGTTGCTCATTACTCCCATATGTTTCTTGTAGATGGCTTGATGTATTTGGAGCCTATATTTAACACCAACACGACAAATAGAAATCAAAATTGCTCAAATTTTCACACTAATTTATTCTAATAAATTGAAAAGAGAACAAAATCACATTCGAATGTATATACCTGTCCACTTCCACTTGGTGATGTGTTAACATGGAAACCAATATGAGTCATCACGAGATGGAGTTTCGAACTGACTTCACTATACTTGGATCGGAGATCTTCAATTTCAGATTCATGCTTAGCCTTAAGATCATCTATCTTAGTCTTATATTGTCTTTCTACCTCTTCTCGTATGGTGTCCTCATTAACATTGGAAGATCTTGAACTTTGACAAAACACTTGAGATGGAGTTATACCTGTTCCATACATGCGAACACGTCCATATGCATCAGGTCCCATAACTCTAGTAAACACCTCCTCTCGATAATCCTCGTCTTGCTCATGCTCTTCCCTTTCTTCCAAGCATTGATTAAATTGATTCTACAGAACATGACCCAACCAATTCAAATGACCAAAAGATAAAAATAATGCACAACCCAACTAATCAAAACGATGTGAATATGCAAAGTTTTACTTTGAGTGAAAAATATATAACCTAACTGATACTTACAATAATGTGGCCACTTTCCTCATCGAAAAGGTCTCTGTCATCATTCTTTGTTTTCTTTGTTCTTGTTTTTATAAACATGCTCAACCGATCCGTTTTCTCTCCCTTCTCTCTCATCTTAAGAGCACACAATGTTTAATCAAGTTAGTAATGAAAATTGTTAAATGGAGAAAATAAAAACTTTCCAGCATTTCCATCATGCCGTATTCAAATTGGACCTGGTACAAATGATACCATTCCAGTTTTCCAGCATGGTTTATATATATACATCCCCTGCTTCTATTAGTATTAGTCCTATTGTTAATTATTATCACTTATTACTCACTGCAAAACTAGTGTTCTGACCTCATGTTTCAATTGAGCAAATGAAGTACGACCAGTCCGATGAGGAGCACCTCCATGTGCACGATTAGCCTTATTTGCCTCAGAATATTCCTACACATGTTTAAAGCAACCATAATTCATCACTATTATAAACTTAAAATGTAATTTTTCCTAATTTACCTTTATATTAGGGAGGCCCCAATACTTTACTAGTGTCTTCCATTGATCTGTAGTGACTTGAGGAGGAGTGAAGGATAATCGTTGTTCATCGGTCAAGTATGCGTCATACCATCTTTGCTTAACCCGACACTTCCAATCCCTCCATCTATTGCCAATAACCTTTAAGCAATGAAATTTATATGCATCAGGGACATCTGTGTTATCCTGCAATTATTAGATGATAACTATTAATGAAATGAAGACTTGTGCATCTGAGTAAAATTAGTAAATTTTGTAAGTGTTATTTACCGTGACTTCTTTCCAAATATCATCTAATACATGATCAGGCATTTCAGTCCATGAAACATATGTTAGAGGAACCCTTTGACCATTTCTTGCTATAATTCCAAGTTGTCCACTAAACCTGGTTGCATTTTCTTTGATTGGCTTCCATTTAGAATCAAAATCAATATGAACTTTTGTTCCAGTTCCCCATTCTGAGATAGAAAGAGCAGCTCCTCGACCCTTCCTAATACCTTCAGATTGATTTTCACCTATAAATTATTCATTATAAGCAAAATATAATTTGAATGATTGAATAAAAAACTAGAAAAAATTAATGGTCCTTTAGCACAAACCTGTTTTGTTTAATGGAGTTGCCAAAGGCTCATCCCCACAACTAGAGGCAGATGGATTTTGTTGTAGTTGTGTCTCTAATTGAGACTGTGTGCGCCTTGTAATTGGTGGCTGTTGTTGAGTTTGATTCAATGTGATATGCTGAGATGGCCTAGATAACCGAGGCTGACTCGAACTTTGTCCACACTGCTGAGATGGTCGTGCTTGTGACCTACCCATTTTAGCTCTCATTGGAGATGGGGGAATCAATTCCTCCATTGCTTTGCCTCTTCCCCTCTTTGGTGCCATTTTCTGTTGCACTAAAAAAATTAGTACACACACGATGAATCATCATAAAAGATTGATGTAAATAATTCATAATATGTAACCGAGTACCTACCAAGTACCTTATCAAATGCTACTCCCTGTGCACGATTATTAATCTAACATATTTATATATAAGCTATTTTAAGAAGACATGCATTGATAAACATAGTCAATTAGAAGTAATAAAGTAACTAATATAATCAGAATTTCCAAAATAGTGTCACTTGATAACAAGAATTTCCAAGATAATCACTAACTAATACACTATATGGCCAATCATTCTTCCATCTCATTTTCAGGAGGATCATCAACTTCTTCAACATTTGTGTCTACGGTTGCTCCATCCACTCCTTCCCTGACCCAGCCAACATCTTCATCATTCATAAATACAGTTTCATCCAATTGTTGGGGTGCATAGAGCTCTACTTGAGGCACTATTGTTGGGGTGTGGGAAGAATCCTTTGAACGCATATCAAATATATCTCTTACAGTCACATTAACAACAACATGCCAATCTGAATCAATTGGATCCTGTATGTAACAAACTTGCTTTGCATCTCGTGCTAAAATGAAAGGCTCGTCCCCTACAACATTATCTTTGTATAACAGATGATTAAAATTCACTAATGTGAATCTAAACTCATCTTCTTTCATTCCACCAATTGCATCAACCCAATCGCACTTGAACAAAACAAATTTCAAGGCATTGGTATATCGGATTTCAACCACATCTTTCAACACTCCATAATAGGTGACATCACCTGAGCAAGGCCTTTTGTCCTTAACAGTAGCATAGCTCATAGTGTCTGCTTTCGATACAACACCAGAATTTTGAGTGGTTCTACTTTTTTCGCTTTCTTTCGTACGAAATTTGGAGCCATTAATGACATAACCTTTATATCTTCGTGCAAATTGGTCAGGACCATTAGCCAAAGTGATGATGTCTTCAGAAAATACTTCATTATTAGTTAGCCGCTGTGTATCAACCTATATAATATCATTATTATAAAGAAGTCAGAGAGAAGAAAATTTTAATTTGATTGGCCTACATTAAATTTATAGATCTAATGATTGTAAGTACTTACATAATTTTTTAAACCATATGTGAAATGTCTCAGTGTGAACTCTTCTGATATAATGACTTGTTTTACGAGGCATTTCCAATGCAAGTATTTCAAGGTGTTGGCTGTGTATATGAGATTTGTTCAGAAAGAAGTGAATTAAGAAGCATTCAAAGTAATAAATATAATTGTGCTTTCACTTACTTTCGAAATGGTGTGATAGCATCTGTGTTGACTAGCACGTGCCTATGTACTTGTGTCCATGTAACTTCATCTAGACGTATTTTAACTCCTTTGGTGAGCGGACGACCATAGTCACTACCACCATCATCATTACGAGCTGGACGAGTAAGCTTTGTTTCTACTTCATTCAAATATCAGGCAGGCACAAAAAGTCATGCATTCTTCCATTAAGCGACCCTTGGCAATGGAGGCCTCAGGATGCGCACGATTACGCACATAACACTTCAGTGTTAATAAGTACCTATGTGTATTATAATTAAAATATAATCTAATGAAAGTAGTTAATGTAATAAAAATTACAACTACAATTTTACTAACCTCTCAATAGGATACATCCATCTAAATTGGACAGCCCCAGCAACCAATGCTTCCTCAGCTAGATGGATAGGCAAATGTTCCATTACGTCAAAGAAAGACATTGGAAAAATCTTCTCAAAATGGCAAAGTGTATGCACAATTCGCTCTTGAATATGTTCCAGATCAGACTGCACGTTCACTTTCGAGCAAAGTTGTCTGAAGAAATTAGTGAACTCAATCAATGCTTCAACAACATTCTTAGGCAATGCTCTGCGTGCTGCTATAGGAAGTAATTGTTGCATTAATATATGATGATCATGACTCTTAAGACCCCAAATACTCCGCTCCTTCATGTGTACATGTCGAGAAATATTAGAAGCATAACCATCTGGAACCTTTACTTGCATCAAAACTTTTAAGAACACATCTTTATTGTCTTTAGTCATAGTAAAACAACTAGGAGCTAAGTATGCCTTATTAGAACCTCGTTGCTGAGGGTGCAATGGTTTCCTAATGCCCATTTCTTCTAAGTCACGTCGAGCTTTCAAATTGTCCTTAGTTTTTTTAGCAACACCCAATATTGTCCAAAGGATATTTTCACAACAATTCTTTTCAATGTGCATGACATCGAGATTGTGACGAATCAAATTATGCTCCCAATACGGTAACTCAAAAAATATGCTTTTTTTCTTCCAAAATGATCGATGATTATTACTCCCAACTTCATCTCTTTTCCTCTTTCTAAGATCATCTTTCTTATACTCTGTAAGTACTCCTAGCAACTGTCTTTTCACATCAATACCTGAAATTTTTTGTGGAGCACGTCCCCATTCTCGTGTGCCATCAAAAGACACTTTATCTCTTCGAAACTTATGACTTGTAGGTAAAAATCGACGGTGACCTGTGTAACAATACTTTCTTCCGTAAGTTAACCAACGAGACCGAGTGTTTGTATTGCAACAAGGACATGCTTTTTCACCTCTAGTGCTCCACCCTGATAAGTTCCCATATGCCGGAAAGTCATTGATAGTCCAAAGTAATGTAGCATGTAGTTTAAACATTTGATTCATCGAGGCATCATAAGTAAGTACACCTTCTTGCCATAATTCCTTTAACTCGTCAATCAGTGGTTGTAAATATACATCAATCTTATTACCAGGTCCATGCGGGCCATCTATCAGAATAGACAAGATATAGAATGGTTGCTTCATGCACATCCATGGTGGCAAATTATATGGCATTAGAATAACATGCCATGTACTGTGAGGTTTGAACATTGTTCTAAATGGGCTGAAACCATCTGATGATGCTAGACCAAGTCTGACATTACGAATTCCACTAGCAAAATCTGGATACTTAGCATCAAAAGCTTTCCATGCAGGTGTATCAGCAGGGTGCCTTAGCACACCATCATTAATACGTTCCTCAGCATGCCATTTCATAAGCGAAGCAGTTTTGGATGACATAAAAAGTCTTTGCAATCTTGGCTTCAATGGAAAATATCTTACTTGTTGAGCAGGTATTTTTCTATCCCCACTCACACACCATTGTTAATTTGGCCTTCAAATTTCTTGTATCTGGATGTGTGGCAGATGCCACATGATTCAAGCTCCTTATCCTCATTTTTAAACAACATACAATGATTAGGACATGCATCCCATGTCTCGTATGTGAAGCCCAGGTCCTCCGTAATCTTTCGAGCATCATTATAAGAGTCTGGTACGTCTATATTGGGAAAAAACTTCTTTCAGAAAATTTAACAAGATTGTCATTGAACTGTCTGTCCATCCACCAAGTACCTTTATGTGTAATAGCCGAACAATGAATGACAATTTAGTAAACTTTTCACACCCCGAATACAAAGGACATTCTGCATCTTGTAGCAATTTGAAGTACTTTCTAGTTTCATCATTTGGCCCCTCACTGTGTTCATTTTCTGTTGACTGATCATTCTCCATATTAGGATCCACATTTGAATGGCCAAATGCCTCTTGTACCATTCCAAACATATCATCAACAAAAGCTGATGGAGTGTTATTCCCAATACCTTGTTCTGAATATAATGGTTGGTTTGTTTCTCCATGATGAATCCAATTTCTATAATTTGGCATAAACCCATCAACTATTATATGAGCTTTTGCTACTTCCCTTGTAACAAAGTACCGATTGTAACATTTTTTGCAAGGACAATAAATCCTTGTATGACCCTTGTTGTTATCAAATGCAAACTCCAAAAAATGTTCAAGCCCATAGTTAAATTGGTCAGATGACCTGTCATTTAAATCTATCCAACTCTTGTCCATACCTAATGTCATCCGAAAATAATACAAAGAAAGTAAGTAAAATTAATCAAAATTTTATTTAAAAGGAGGATATAAAACATACCGAACTAAGCACCCTTGATCTGATCTCTATAGTTAATCCAAAATATTTGAACTACAAAAGAAATGTCAAACACTAAGCAATATGAGATAAGTTGTCAATCCAAACTATTCCAAAAACAATATTCTACTTTAACACAAAAGAATATGCATTAACGCATGATAATGTGTGAGCTCGGAATAGGCGATACACATACAGAGTTATCTCAACATTCATAATGATAATACTAGTTATTAAAAAAATAAATAATAAAGGGAAGCAATTGAGTTTTAAAAGGTGGGCTTATATAATATGAGTTGAATGGGTAATTAGACAAACTCTAGGTCTGCCATCAACTATCACTTAAAAATTAGATAAACTCACTACTAATCCCCATCATTCACCTACCTAACACATGAACTAGCTAGGAATGGGTAATTAACAATCCAAACGGTCATATTCTTGGGTAGCAAATACGAAATACATATCCAATTCTTCATTCAATGTATCCTCTGAACTTTGGGCAACTTGACTTTTGCATATGATACTCAAAGAAAATATATCCAGAATTTCAAGGAGTGTCACAAATAAGAGATTACTCCAAGGTAAACTTTTAGTCAGCACACAAAAAAACAATCCTACATCATCCACTTTACCTTGTGCGAGGGCCTTCTCCAAGATCTTCCCAATCTATGGAAAAGCAACGCCTGTAAAAGGTACACTCTAATCATTCACCATATTTTTAAGGAAGAAGAAGAAGCCAAATATTGTTGCAAATGCCAACAAAATTACAAAAAAAAAAAAAAAAAAACAAAAATTGGGCAAGATGTCTACGAATTAAAAATAAAGGCACGTACAAAATCAAGAAGCACAATCCCCCTAAAGATAAAGTATCTGCAAAGACACCAAATATTTATCAAGAAGCACAATCCCCCTAAAAATCAATTACTATTTGTGCTGTAAACATATTAAGAAAACAGGGTTTGTTTTTAACTAAAATTTTCTGTTTGTGCTATAAACATATTAAGAAAACCTGCAGCCCAGAACGCAGGCGTTGTCCAGTCCAAACTAATAATTGGAACCGGAAACAGTTGAGGGAGAAAACTAAGGCTGAGGGAGAGAACTAAGCAAGACTTATGGAATCACTTAGCAATCAAAGACGTGGGTTGGGATTTAACAAGGTACTGAGGAAGATGATCAAACCGATTCTGAGCAGAATGGGTGGAAAAAAGAAAGACATCCCAATCCCGGATGCCAAAGACCCTAGGTTTTGGAAGACATTTAGCAGATATGTGCGCCTTTGACAGAAACCTTATAAATCACTTAGCAAGACTTATGGAATAAAAAAAGAAAGAAGATGGAGATGGTTGTAGTGGCTTACCTGAACTCTGATTGTGCTCCGTAACTCTGATACAACTCCAGAATTTTCGATTGAATCTTTGAGAGAAAAGGAAAAGGAAACGGAAACGGTTGAGGGAGAGCACTAAGGCTGCGTTGGGAAAAAGAAAAAAGGAGCGCGCGCGCTCATACCCTAAGCGCCCAATTTGTTCCCGCTCAAACTCTATCCGTCGTTAGGGGCGTCGCAAACAATATGTTTAAGACGACATATATTTCTATTTGCGACATTATTAGCGACGTTACTTATAGTGGTGTCGCAAATATTTTCGCGCTAACAAATACCGCGCTAATTTCCTTTTATTTGCGACGATAGTGTAATTTGACGCAAAAAACGTGTCGCAAAAAGGCCTTTTTCTTGTAGTGCTTGCAACTCAAATCTCATCTAGTGCTAAAAGGCATCGTTACACAAATCGCACCTCCTCGGGTTTTTTATACAATAATATTTTGAAAGGGCGTTTGAGCTTAATCTCATGATAGGTAATCATATTAAAGTATTAACGTTGTCATTTGCAAGAGTAGAACTTAAAATTCTATTTACAATCCTCGTTGATTAGACAAAATTAGTTGAGTGATTGAAGGATTAACAGACTTTAACAAAATAAGAAAACCTCTTGTACTAGACTATTTCCTTTTCGATACATCAGCAACGCAAACCCTCCAAACAATTGAGGTCAACCTGTCTAGCAGATTAGTAAAACTAGAGAGAAAACAAGAACTTCCTACATGTAGAGCATTTCACAGTATGGAATTGAACCAAATTAGTAACAGTTGAAAGAAAAAAAAAAAAAACTAATGAAAATGACTTGAAAACTTTGAGTTTTAATGATAAGGATAAAATAAAGGGTAAAGTGAATAGTACCAAGATTGACTTTTTAGTGTAAAAATGTGGTTTTTCGTTAAAGTGAACAGTACCGGGTGCTTTTCGTTAAAATTCCCAAAAAAAAAAGCGCAAAAATATTGAGCCATTGTAACCAAACAGACACTATCAAGCACGTAAATCACAATGCTGCAAATGAAATATTCCCTATTTGGCTGCTAGGAAAATTAGAGGAGATTGTACATTCGAAACGAAAATTGCAAGCATTGTTAGTGCAGTTTATTAAACTAAACATGGCAAATACCAAAAATATATATAACAATATTTGAGAATTTCATATATATTCATTAATTTCCAAAGTGGAGTATATATAGGAGTTACAATTAGTATTATAGGGATGAGCAAAGGTTATACCCATAACCGTTTATTTATCTAAACGATTACCCATAATCGTAATCGTTTAATTTAAATGGGCGGGTAATCGCGGTTACCCATAACCAATGGGTATTTGCCCATCCCTAATTAGTATTACATATGTACTTTACCATTGTGGGACAATAAACTACTATTTACCTTCAACTAATATATAACTCGCAACACTCCCCCTCAAGTTGGTTCAAAGATATCACACATGCCCAACTTATCAAGTGAGTTGGAAAACACACTATTAGACACAACCTTAGTAAGAACATCAGCAAGTTGATCTTCAGATCCCACAAACGGAAACATAACAATTTCAGCATCCAATTTTTCCTTAATGAAATGTCGATTAATCTCCACATGTTTTGTTCGATCATGTTGCACTGAATTATGAGCAATCTCAATAACAGCATTGTTATCACAATGAAGTTTCATAGCACATTTGAGTTTAAACCCAAGATCTCTCAACAATTTTTTCAACCACAACAACTCACATACACCATGAGACATACCACGAAACTTAGTTTCTGCACTTGACCTAGCCACAACTTTTTGTTTCTTGCTTCTCCAAGTAACTAAATTACCACCCACAAACGTAAAGTATCCAGATGTAGATCACCAATCAGTGATAAAACATACCCAATCTGCATATGTATACCATTCGATATTCAAATGATCATTCTTGGAGAAAATCAAGTCTTTGCCATGAGCCATCTTCAAATACCTCAAAATACAGGTTACTGCATACATATGAGTTTCACTAGGTGAGTGCATAAACTGACTTACCACACTAACTACATAAACAATGTTAGAGGGAGTGTGAGATAAATAAATTAATCTCCCCATAAGCCTCTGATATCGTTATTTATGAGTATGAACTTAATATGGAAATAAGCCCAGATGATGATTATGCTCAATCGGAGTATCAACAGGTTTGCAATCTAACATACATGTTTCAGCTAACGAATCAAGAACATACTTCAGTTGAGACAAAAAAATACCTTGCTTGGATCGTGCAACCTCGATTCCAAGAAAATACTTCAATTCACCCAATTATTTCATCTCAAATACAGTACTTAGGTACTTTTGAAGGTGTTGTATCTCCTTTTGATCGTCACCAGTCACTATCATGTCATCAACATAAATAATCAATGCAGTTAGCTTAACATTTTGTCGCTTTAGAAATAAAGTATGATATGAATGACTCTGGATATACCTAAACTTCTTCATTGAACTTGTAAACCTCCCAAACCATGCTCTAGGATATTGTTTCAAACTATACAAAGCCTTTCGTAACCTGCATACAACACATTTTCCAGGAGATGTTCCAATACCAGGTGAGAGATCCATATAAACTTCTTCCTTAAGATCACCATGAAGGAAATTATTTTTAACATTAAATTGCAACAGAGGCCAATCCTGGTTTGCTATTAAGGACAAAAGAACACGCACAGTATTAAGTTTGGCAACAGGAGCAAAAGTTTCCTGATAGCCCACCCCATAGGTTTGAGTATAACCCTTAGCAACTAATCTGGCTTTATATCAGTCAATAGAACCATCTGCTTTGTGCTTAATAGTAAACACTCATCTACATCCAACGACTTTCTTCCCGTTTAGTAAAGGAACCAAATCCCAAGTAGAATTCTTTTCCAAAGCTTCAATCTCAACTTTCATGGCATTAACCCACTTAGGGTCAGACAACGCATCTTGCAATTTTGTTGGAATTGATACACTAGATAGCTGACATATGAAAGATGCATATAATTTAGACAAACAATGAGTAGACACATAATTGCTGATAGGATATTTGGCTTTGGCATGCATATCAGGCTCATATTGTACTTTATGTTTTCCATGATTAGCTCATGGAGGCAACTGATAAGTAGAAGAATCGTTAAAATTTACATCATGTATGCCACTATCTTGTACCAAATTGTTAGAAGAATCATCACTGGACGAATCATTATGAGACAACTCGTTAGACATATTAGCAGCAAGCAATCGATCATCATAATGTAATTTGTCAGACATACTAACAGGCAACTCGCTGGGCATATTTGATCTGTCGTTAGTATAAATAGTTCCAGGAATGATAGGTGACCGATCACTATCTGTAGCCAACTGATCAGTATCACACAACATAATAGGTTCTATTCACAACTCTGCCGTAACACATCATCCATACCATCTTTTAGAATCTGCACTTCACTCCCCATCTCCCTCTGAAGTAGAGAGTCGGAATAGGGCTTCACAAAATGCGAAATTTCCTCGTGGAATGTGACATCCATGGTAATATAAGTTTTTTGAGTCGGAGGATGATAACACTTATAGTTTTTTTTAATTGTTAGCATACCCAATAAGGACACATCGGAGAACACATGCATCAAGTTTACTCTGCTAATGAGAGTAGACATGCACATACGCAATACACCCAAACATTTTCGGATGAAGCTTTGATACAGAAACAAGAGGAACATGTTTTTGTAGCACATCAAGCAGTGTTTGAAAATCAAGAACCCTACTTGGAACACGATTGATCAAATACATAGCAGCCAAAATAGTATGACCCCACAAATGATTAGGAACACATTTATCCAACATCAATGAGCGAGCAACCTCTATTATTTGACGATTCTTCCGTTCGGACACACCATTTTGTTGGGGTGTAAACGGAGTAGTCATCTGTTGAATAATACCATGATCACGAAAAAAGCATGCCAAAGTGTGATTCATATATTCTCCTCTGTTATCAGACCTGAAGACCTTAACTTTGGTCTGAAATTGAGTAAACACCATTGTACAAAATTCTTGAAGAAGTAACGAAACATCACTCTTATTCTTCATCAAGAACACTTAAGTTAACTGAGTACAATCATCAATAAAAGTAACAAACCAATGGAATCCATTAGAAGTAATTTTCTCCAGACCCCACACATCAGAATGTATCAAATTAAATGGCAAAGTAGCTTTAGAATCACTTACGAGAAATGAAGCACGATGACTCTTAGCCATGACACATGTTTCACACTTGAACTCTGAATCACTACAAGTGCGAAAGAAAGAAGGAAATAGATGCTTTATATAACTGAATGATGGATGTCCCAATCGTCGATGCCACAACCAAATTTAATGTCTGTCATCCACTTTAGCACTTAAAACTTGATGATTATTTGAATCGGAAACAACAATATCCTTCACAGTCAAGATGTACAAACCCCCTATTCTTTTACCACGACCAATTATCTTCTGAGTTTAAATGTCTTGAAAATAACAATACATAGGATAGAAGTGAGCAGAACAATATAAGATATCAAGAAGTTTTCCTACCAACAAAAGATTGCACTTAACATCAGGAACAAATAAAGCATGGACCCGTGATAAGGTTGAAGTAAAAGAGATAGTGCCTTCACCCTTCACAGGGGAAGGTGCTCCATTTGCACTATTAATATATAGATCACAAATATAGTCACATAACTCATCAAACACTCTAGAGTCATTAGTCACATGATCAGTGGCCCCACTATCAATTATCTATTTATTTGTTCCACCAAGATGCATAACAACACTATGATTATATTGAGTCATTGAACAAAATCACGAACAATAAAGGCACAAAAGATACGCAGCGAAATGAAAACAATTGACCAGAACACTGTAGTAATCACTGTTCACGGCACTTTAGCAGAGCACTATTCATGATTGTAGCAATCACTGTTTACGGAACTGTAGATAATCACTGTTCACAAAGCAGACCACTGTTCACGCGCTGTAGCAAAATGCTGTATTGTAGGGCGATACTATTCACTTTTTTTTTTTTTTTTTTTTTTTTTTTTTTGTAATGAAGGAAATCACGAAAAATGTGGGCACAAAATTAAAGCACACAA